ATAATCAGGTCACAAATCTGAATCACTCTTGATACAGTTCATCATTTCAGGACCGTAAATTGGAGATCACCTTTCATTGCAATGCTGCTGACAGACCTCTTCATGTGCACAGACACCCATCTCATGCATTGGAACAGGATGAATTACAGGGCTGTTAGCGTGATTTCTTAGTGCTCACTCACTTTGCATCTAATGGATGTTCACAACATCTCTACCATGCCTCCTTGCACTTTTCTATCTCATTCAGAAATTACAGCCTCGTAGTTCTTCTGTCTTACCTTGAACAGAGACACAAAGCCAGGCAGCCTGTCATGTTTGTCAGCAGTGATCAGCAATGTTCTCTCTAATTCTTCGGGGATCTGTGCAGAACCCAAAGTCGTCTGAGCAGCATATTGCATCCATTGAGCCAAAATCATATTGCAATTTTTTTTGCAGTTGATTAACTGTTAAAAGTGTGCATTTATATTATGTTACAGTTACATGCATTGTAAGGGTGAATTTAACCCTTCATTTCCTTAGAGAAATAAGATGCAGGTTTCCTTCTATAAATGTTTATTCATGTGTGCATGGGAGATGTACACTTCAAGAAAATGGTATCCAGCTCAAATCCTTATGAAAAAAATAAGGTGTTATATCATTTTACAGATAAGCTTCCAACTGTCTATTCCTGAAAATAAGAGTTTCCAATGAAAAAGTTACACATCTACTTACACCTTTCTGTATTCAACCCTAGTTGCATGATTCACATTCCACGTTAGTACACATCACTGCATTATCCAATCATATCAGTACCCATTTAGAGATGGCAGTAGGTATACTACATGTAATACATGACCAAAAGTGTACACTAGCAATTTATTCACTCCTTCGTTAGCAGAGTTTCGCTCCTATCTTTATTTGCTGTCCAATGATTGTATACTGCATTCAGGTAGACATTTTGTCCAGATGAAATGTGTAACTTAATTCGCATCACATTGTCTAAGTGATCCATTTCTAATCTCTCTCTGGGTTTACAGTTAAGCAAGTTAATGAGGCTAAATCCATGCTCGTAGTCAGCACTTGATGCCTTAGATATTGCAACAATGCCCAGAATATCAGACATTTCTTAAAACTGGTCATTTTTAGAGCATAGCCCACTAAATCACTGGATGTCTGAATGGAATATATTGAGTTTTTCCATAACCATAAATTTGAAGTCAGAGTATCAAAAATGCTGTGGCCAGACTTTCATTGTAGTTTCGTATAAAAGTGGAATGTTTCAATATCAGTTGCACAACGTTGATTAAGCTGTAATCACCAGACAAATGCATGCCACTTTCTTAATTCCTCTTCTGGAACCTGCTTTCCAGGTGGTCACATAGCTGTTGAATAAATTAAAGGATAACAACAGTGACCACATCACTGTTGACAGCAGCAGAAGCTTAACTTCATCACTCCAGTAACCAAGTTCACCTAGATACTGGGTCTTCAGTTTATTGATCTTGGCATCTGCCAAAAAAAAGGTAACTTTTTGAGTCTACTGACTCTTTGTCAGAGCTATTCTCACAAAGGGTCACTGAGCTGAAAATATTAACTGTATTTCTCTCGATAGATGCTGCCAGACCTGCTCAGTATAAAGTTTTCAAAAAGATTTGTAGCTCGGGTTGTGGTTGAGGTTGTTGACATGATCGATGAGCCAGTGGGTTTGGTTGCACCCTGCTAAGTAACGTCATCAGTTCACCGACAGTAAAGCATTGGTGTTCTGTCCCACTTGTTATTTATATGCCACCATTTGCTGAGGTGCTTGGTATTATTTCTGGTTCTGTTTCTCCGTGGTTTGTACACAGGGTCTAATTCAATGCGTCTGTTGGTGGAGTTTCGGTTAGAATACCAGGTCTCCAGGAATTCCCTGGCATGTCTCTGTTTGGCTTGTTCAATTATAGGTGTGTTGTCCCAGTCGAATTCATGTCCCTCGTTGTCTGTGTATAGCGAGACAAGTGAGAGTTGGTCGTGTCTCTTGGTGGCTAGTTGGTGTTCATGTATCCTTGTTGCCAGTTTTCTTCCAGTTTGGCCTATATAGTGTTTCGCAGAGTCATTGCATGGTAATACCCCAGTTTTGCTGGTTTTGGGTATGGGATCCTTTACATTGGTCAGTCGCTGTCGTAGGGTGGTTGTTGGTTTGTGGGCTACTCTGATACCGAGGGGAATGAGTGGTCTTATGGTCATCTCTGAAATGTCCTTGATGTACAGTAGGGTGATTAGTGAATCTGGTCGTGAGATAGTAGGAACTGCAGATGCTGGAGAATCCGAGACAACAAGGTGCAGAGCTGGATGAACACAGCAGGCCAAGCAGCATCATAGGAGCAGAAAGGCTGACGTTTCAGG